AGGAAAAAGATCAGGTAGACGACCGAGTCCAAGAAGTAAAAGTCGAAAACGAAGATCCGGAGATAGAAAACAAAAAGAAAACGCTTACCTTAGACCTGAAAGAGACGAACGAACCTGCAGCGGTGGAAGAAGAAAAGAGATGCGAGACTGTGACAACGCAGACCGATATTTCACTGCCGAACACGAAAAGCGCGCCACGAATCTTCGAGAAGATTTTACGACAGCTGTCAAAAAGTTCGTTGGATGAAGGTATAAAAGCAATGAACATCAGCATGAGTGAGAATGAGAGTAAGGTTTTAGAGAATACAGAGGTTAAAGAAGAATGTAATCAGCTTGAAGTGAAAAAAGACTAACGCCCGTATTCACAAACATTACTATGAGGTCTCACAGTGCGCGTCTACTCCAGGGTGACACACGAACCAATCACAGAGCTCTATTCAACGCTGTGCGTTAGATTTGCTGCTTCACATATGCAAGCATCGTTTGTGAATACGGTTTTAAGTCTGTACTTACTTACAAACTTTTGTTTTACTTACTGAGGGTGCCACGGAATGGCGAACTGAACGAAGACATTTGCAAGGAGGGCTGCTACTTACTTATGTATTTGCTCACCAGTATCGAGTAGGTAAGGCACTAAGATGCTGTCGTCCTGAGTTACCACAAACTACTATGGGGACATAATATTTTAGAATGCACAGAATACCTGATACAGTGGCGCCAACAAGTGGCGTAAACTAAGTCCTAGTCGTCATCATCATCATCATCACCTCAGCCAGCCATAGGATGTCCACTGTCAGCAGGCCTATGTTCAGACATAGGCCTCCCCCAATGCTTTCCATGTTGATCGAATGGTAGCGGCCTGTGTCCAGCGCTTCCCTGCTACTTTTATGATGTCATCGGTCCGCCTTGTGGGGTGTCCTAGTCACTATCGTTTTACGCAGTTTTCGTTCACCAGTTGGCGCTACTGCAGCACTGCTGGCTATGGCGTAGCAGGCCAAGTGATCGCAAAATACGCAAACATTCTCGTCATTAATGTATTGTACATGATCGCATATAAGTATAATAATATTCTGGCTAGTAACTTTTGTAAGATAAAACCCAAATAATAAACTGAATGTGATGTTATTGTACCTTCCTAATAAACCATAATTTGTAACTCCAATGAGTACATTTAACTCGTTTTTACGTATTTTCTAGTCAAGTTTAAGTACAAGTCTATGATATTACTTATTTTGCGAATATACCTATTTATGTGTTTAATAATATCAAATCAATTTTATCTCTCTTATGAATGTTTTATGTAGTTACTTCTACATAGCATAGCAATAAATTATATGACAGAAATAAATATATTATTATACTGTAAATTGTGACATTTTATTCACGAAATGTAATCGTGATATGATAACCTGTTTTATTTATTTAAAAAAAAATACCCCTCAGCATTTTCCTATAAGAATAATTCCAACCAATAATGGAAATAGAATTTACTAGAATTATTTCATAAACTCAGGAATACCTTGAGAAAAATAGTTAGGTAGGTAACTAGGTAGGTACAACAGGGGACGGCAAGTTCTCCAAATGATGTATACTACATTAATTAATAGCTATGAAGAAGCCCACTAACCTGCAGAATAAATCCTTGGAGCCAAGACACGAGGGTCAACTTGCCAAATATAAATCCTCTTGGATCCTTCGTGGAACTATCTTCATGAGCACTAATCGAGTTTGGAAGCACATCACCATAATGTTAATTTCAGAATGAGGAGTACTTATTGTTTTTCAGTTTTTCTGAAGTGCGTAGAAAGCCACAAAATGATACTATCAATGTCAGGTAGTCAGAAATATGTGTATATTGAGAAATGGCGGCGACCAGTGTAATTATGTGGGTAGAAATCAATTATTTTGAGAACTTCAGTTTGGAAAATAGTGACAGGAGGTGCTGCGGTGTGAACCAAAACCAAATCTGTGGTTTTCACAAAGACTTGATTGGTTCTTTTTTGGTCGTGTGTTGACAGAACGTTATATTGTCAAATCAAATGGTTCCAAAAAAACGTCTAACGCCATCTACTGAGAGGACGAGTAACTAATAAATGTGAAAGTCAATACAATTACTTTTTAATAGTTTTGCCTTGGGTTGCACCATCTTACTTTAACTAATAACTTTTTTTTCAAGTCTGTCAAACTCCGTACTAAAACATCGGTTAAAGTTATAGTTACGGTTAAAGTTAAGATGATTCAACTCAGCCTAAGTTGTTTATTATGAATGTTTGTAGTAAGAGTTGTGTGTGCATGTGTGTTTTCTTGTGTTGGAAGAAGAATGGTCATAAAATCAAAGAAAAAAATATATTTTCATAATTTATTTCAACTTACAAATACTAAATTCACAATTTTATACTCAAAATTACAAAATTATAGAAAAGTACGAATATAATATATTAGAAAATCTCCAAAATTTCGCTTAAAATAGAATTTTATTTCCAAAGACGAACGACATAATTTCAAATAAACAATTCATAACTCAAACAATCATTGCATACTCCGTCTTTGTCTTACATATGAAAACTTCACACCGTGCGAAAGGGACAAATGCTAATATTTAATATTTTTGACACAATTATTAATATTTTAAAAACTAATCAGATTGCATACATAATTTAAGTTTGGCGAATTGAGCCTGGTCATAGACAAGGAAATTTCTCGAGACCATAGACAATGGCACAACTAGACAAGGATTGGGCGCGACTGTCGCACAGAACACCTAACACAATGACAGAAGTGTCAAATTATGACATTCAAAAATCAGACCAAATTCAATAACCTAATTAAAAAGCCTGTTGTACACACGTCTCTAAAATATCATTTAGTTTTTATCACATTAAAACTATTTTTTTTACTGTAATATGGCGGGTGTCATGTAAAATTTCAAAGAAATTACTTTGACAGCTGTCAAAAAATCAAAATGGCTGCCTATTTCAGAGACTGGTACAACAGCCCTCATAAAACTTTCTACGAAAAGAAATCGAAACTTAAAATAAGACTTTAAAATTTTGACCCGAATTTTTTAAAAACTAAATAGCGTATTAAAAAGTCAAATAAAATTACTATAATATGAAACTTATTTCTACTATTTACATACTATATAACAATCTAGTAAGCGTAGGTACGAATAAACTAGTAGTGATAAACGCGAGCGCCCCTAGCGGTCAAATGTGGAACTACACATCACTTGTTGTTAGAAAAGACAGAATTTTAAACTATTTGTTGAATATTTCAAGTTTATTTTGGAAAAAGATAAGTTCTAAGTTAATACAATATCTATTGAAAGATTTCAATGCATTTTGACAGTGATAATTCGCTTCGCTACAAATCAAGACACTTAAATTTTGATGACAGTGCTCTGGAGGCCTAGAAAAAGAAATCGCTTCACGGAGCGAGTCACTGCAAGAAGACGAAGCGATTTCGAAACTGTCACTTTGTCTAGCGAGCAGATGCTTCGCTAGACTTAAGCGACATACTTATGTCATTTTCAACGAACAATACAGGGTGTAATTCCAATTTTTTCTTTAAAGGGCGCTAAAAAATTTATCAATTCGCCTTAATGGCTACGTTTGACAACATGATTCGACATTTGACACAAAACATAGTCAAGATAGGCTTCTGAAGAGTTAAGGTCATAGCGCACTTATCATCCCGGAAAGCGATCAACACGAGGCGAGGCGTTTACATTATGGTGCGTATAAGTGTGCGTTGCAGAAAGGAGTTTTATACAAAGAACACTGAACGCCTCAAGTTGATACGGTTACGATCCGTTTCCGGGTTGATAAGTGTGCTTCGTCCTTTAATTGCACAGAAAACAGACCCTTGTATTAATAAGTTGTTCTGTTACAAGTAAATGCTTTAGTTTATAATCATCTTTAGAATTTGAACATCCGACAACACAAAATCATAATAGTGTTCCATAAAGGTGTGTTCACATTTTTACAGGCGTACGAATGTTCACAACGCATTAAGAGTACATATTTTTGTTGAAAAGTAGCCGTTTTTAGACGTCACAGTTGAATATGCTTGTCTGTACCAATGTGAACACACTTACCTCCAAAAGGTGGCATCTCTCAGCTTTTAAATCGAAGAAAATCAATTTAAAATGAAATCTAAATACTTTATTTTTTCATAATCGCTAGAAAAATCTTTAGCATCGGACGTCTATGTACAAGAAATAAAAGTTAACTTAATGAATAAAATATATGTATTATAGGACTAGTGGCTAACTCAATCAGTGCTTGAGGTATAGGAGCGGCAGTGACATTGACATTTATGATGTGACAAACAAACAGAGTAAATACAAATGAGTAGGTCATCTTCATAGAAACGCACCAAGCGCGGTTTGTATGTGAGCGCGCCAATACGTATGCGGCGCGCACGCACACACTGCAACTCCCCGCTAAATTTTGTCAGTGTGTGCGTGTTGTATGTGAGCGCGCCAATACGTATGCGGCGCGCACGCACACACTGCAACTCCCCGCTAAATTTTGTCAGTGTGTGCGTGCGCGCCGCATACGTATTGGCGCGCTCACATACAAACCGCGCCCGTGCGTTTCTATGAAGATGACCTACTCATTTGTATTTACTCTGGAACAAATCTGAAGTCTCGCTTACGTTTGACCGTCACAACCTCAGAAACTGACTGAGTCAAGCTTGACCTATTAAACGAAATCGTGACGTCATAATTAAACTTTCTTAGCAAGCGTATGTAGTATTGCCTTAACTTTTTTTTATCGTATAAAACGATGCTTTGGACGGTTGGTGATTTAGAAAATTCAAGTCAGATTTTTAATTAGAAATTGTATTTTAATCCAGTATTAAAATCCAAAAGTGAAATAAAAAACGTTTTGAAGTAGCACGAACGTTTTGAAAAAAAAGTAGTTGTCCCCTGTCTGTCCCTATGTATGCTTAGATCTTTAAAACTACGCAACGGATTTTGATGAGGTTTTTCTTAGAGTGATTCAAGAGGAAGGTTTTTTTGGGCGGGTCGCTAGTTGTATAATAAGTCACCTTATGACTGGAATTTAATAAGTTGTTAAATAATTATTAGTAAAATATCTAAATTAAAAAATCCGATTTAAAATTTTCCAAAGCACCAACGCAAATTTTAGTACAGATTATAAACGAGTCTAAAACGCTACCTTATGCTATATTTACATAATTTGGGTATGAAACGGCACTTATGTTATATTTAAAGCTTATGTCGCCTTCACAGCTCAAAATTACCGCTAAAACTTAAACAGGGTGCTGTTAAAATCAAATATAGATCGTTTCATCCACGAAGACGCGCCCCACCATTCTTCCGCGAATGTTCTCGTGTTATCGGTCCACGCGAATGCTCCATGAGTGCACACGCACACTACAGTAATGCCTTACGGCTTGCTCGGACCACACTCCCCGCACCCCGCGCGACCGGGACCAAACATTGCGCGCGGCCGAGTGGATGAAACGATATTTCACACCTAGTCAGTGTAGGTTTTTAAACAGATTCGATTTCGTGATCGTTTCGACCGATCAAATGTGACATAATCGAAACTCGGTAAAAATAACGCACATACGCACGTCTTAGAGTATTATAAATGACTCTTATCACTGAACACGCCCTGTATATCACTTGATTGTATGAAAATTTTGACAAATTGATTTTCAATTTCATTAATTCATTGGGGAACTCTCTCTGTGGGCTGCAATATCTCAGAAATGACCATAGACAAAATAAGAAGGATTTTAGCAGTAATATCGATGGTGTTAAGGCAAGTTTTCCATTAATTTCGTTTAGAAAACATTATGGATCTAACAAATGTACTTCATTTGGGCATAGATTATTGTTTCCTAAACAAAATTAATGCTGAAATTGTTTGATAGATCGATATAATGTCAATTTTTAATGTATTTAAAGTTAAACTAAAAAAATCATGATAATTTAAAAAAAGTGAAACTATTTTAGAACCGTCAACTAAAATTAGTAAAAAAAGTAGTTAGATTTAAAAGAAATTGAGACGTATTTTGTTACTTTTGGAGTTTAAATTCTCGTACGACTTTGCAGTCAAAGAAATTATGCCAATTTGAACTAAAAACGCTCAAAAATTACGTCTTCAAGAGTAAATTTTCTTAGTCCACTTTAAATTAAATAAAAAAGAACATTACACGATCACTTTGAAATAAAATAAAATATCTATATACAAAGTAAAATGCTACATACACACGATACGCGAAAAATCTACTAAAATTATGAAAAACTGATAAGTCAATTAATAAAACATAACCCTTCTGGCGTAGTCGGGAAATAATATGATCGTGTGTACGCAGCATTAGTTTTAGCACTGACGAAGTACCAACTGTTAAATGTTTCTAAAACAATCATACCAACATTGACGAAAGAATTTCTGCTTATCAAAAAAGATTTTTTTTGTTAAAATTTTCCCATAAAATAAGTGTCTAACATAAAATAATAATTTCTAAGAGTTTTTTTTTACGTTTTTCCTAGAATATATTGCAAGTCAGTTAAAACTTAAAATTAAATGGCATTATAATAAAAGGTGGGATAAATGTCTTTTTTATAGCTATTTGTACTAATAACTTAATTTTATAATAATATGGCATAGAATTTCTTTGTATTTACACTAAAAACTAGCTATTTCGATGTTCTTTCAGTACTTTGTAGTTTTTTATCGGTCTTTTGGATGGAATTAAAAGACTGAACCAAAATTGTAGTTCCTAAATATTTTACAAGAGACCACAGTCTTTTTGAGCAAACTCGTGGCTTTTTTTAGTCTTTCCAAAAGACTGTAGAAGACCCAAGACTGTAAGTTTAATTTAGATTTAAGTTTGACTTCTAACTAGGTATATACTTCGAGTCTGCTGCAAAAATACCGTGGTCTACTCAACCTACTCAGAAGACCAACATTGTAGACCAAATACCATAGTAGACCAAGGGCCAGACGTAAAATTTTCACAAAACTGACAAGTAATGTTCGATCAAAGACCAAAATACTCAAAGTCTACTCGGTCTACTCAGCAGAACCCATGTATATTAAACAGACTGGTCTATCCAAAAGCTTCCCCACTCACAAGAGTAGCCCAAAAGCGTGGTCTACTACTGAGTAGACCTTGGTCTAATGAGACCAAGGTCTATTAAGCAGACTGGACCACCCAGAAGTTTTTCAGACTTTAAAACCAGCCAAAGACTATGGTCTACTCGGTGTTCTCAGTAGACCAAGGTATATTTAAGCAGACTGGACAACCCAGAAGCTTCTCCAACTTAAAAACCATCCGAAAACTATGGTCTACTCGGTCTTTTCAGTAGACCAAGGTATATTTAAGCAGACTGGACAACCCAGAAGCTTCTCCGACTTACAAAACCAGCGGAAGACTACGGTCTACTCGGTCTTCTTAGTAGACCAGGGTATATTTAAGCACACTGGACTTCCAGAAGCTTCTCTGATTTACAAAACCAGCGGAAAACTATTGTCTACTTGGTCTTTCGCAGACTGGTCCTCAAATTCCCGACTTACAGCAAAAGCCGTTGCCTCCTATTGTTAGTGGATGACGTGGTGTTACTCATAGACCTGTGTTTCCTCAGCAGATGTTTGTGGCGAGGATCCAACATGGCGGTGTATCCGGCCGGCGAGCACAGTTCCGGATACTTCTGGTAGAAGGCGCGGTAGCCTTCGTGGAGAAGGTAGACTTCGGGGTAGTTGAGATGAGGGTAGTTTTCCTTGTTCTTTGCGCGGTCGAAGGATCGTAGGTAGCGGGATCTGGAAATGGAGACGAGGGTTAGTGATATGTTCAAACAGTGTAAAGTTTAGTATACTCTACTTTTGATTTTTTTATAACAAATGAATGAGTGTCAAAATTTAAGTTGATTTGAGTTTTTTCAGTCGCGACAGCAATCCTACTAATATTATAAAGGCGAAAGTTTGGATGGCTGGATGTCATGATGTCTGGATGTTATATCTTTCACGCAAAAACTACTGAACGGATTTTGTTGAAAACCGCGAATGTGCGACGGGCGGCCGTAGTGAGTGTGCGACCGCGACAGCAATATAATTACGCGCGAGCGACAAGGATGGGTAGCTTGGACTCATCGGACAAAACTCTATCTGCTCGGCGACCGGACTTTAGAGGTTGCGAGCGTGTTTGTGTATTGGATGAATGAGTAGTGGCTGTTTTCTTGTTTATAAATATGTGTACTTACAGGTTAGGCCCTCGTTCCCTCGAGAACTCGCAGTGAAACACTAGTACACTGCTGGGAGCCCGAGGAGCGCTTTGAGCCAAGTCTTGAACTTGCGCGTGCGTGTATAAGTTCGGTCGCCGAGCAGATAGAATCTCGTCCAATGACACCAAGCTACCCATCTTTATTACTCGCACGTAATTATATCACTGTCGCGACTGTGCGACGGGCGGCCACAGTTAGTGTGCGAGCGACAGCAACATAATTACGCGCGAGCGACAAGGATGGGTAGTTAGGGGTCATTGGACGAAATTCTGTGCTCGGCGACCAGACTTTAGAGGTTGCGAGCGTGTTTGTGTGAGCTTGTGTATTGGATGAATGAGTGAATAGTGGCTGTTTTCTTGTTTATAAATATGTGTACTTACAGATTAGGCCCTCTTTCTCTCGAGAACTCGCAGTGAAACACCAACACACTGCTGGGAGCCCGAGGAGCGCTCTGAGCCAAGTCTTGGACTTGCGCGTGCGTGTATAAGTTGCGTGCTCCGGCAATGTGACCGCCTTCAAACTCGTACGGGTAGCGGCAGTCTATGACCTGAGAAAGAAATGAGGGAATTAGTACTTGATAGCGCATTATCTATACTAATACATATTATAAATGCGAAAGTAACTCTGTCTGTCTGTCTGTCTTGCTTTCACGCCTAAACCACTGAACCGATTTTGATGACATTTGGCATAGAAATAGTTTGAGTCCCGGGAAAGGACATAGGATTGTTTTTATCCCGTTTTTTGAAACAGGGACGCTCGCAATAAAGTTTTTCTGTGACAGACAAAATTCCACGCGGGCGAAGCCGCGGGCGTAAAGCTAGTAATAGTATAAAACAAAGTCGCTTTCCGCTGTCTTTCTTATCTTTAAAACTACGCAACGGATTTTGATGCGGTTTTTTTAATAGATAGGATCCCGAAAAATGTGCTTTTTAAAAGTCAACTCACTCGAGCGAGACTTTGCAGTTTTTAGCCTTAGATAGAATTAAAAGACCGAACCAAAATCGTCGGTCAAAATATTTTACAAGAGCCCATAGTCTTTTTGGGCAAACTCGTGGCTTTTTCTTGTCTTTCCAAAAGAGTGTAGGAGACCCAAAACTGTAATATTCAATTAGATTTAGGTTCGACCTCTAATTTAAACACACTCTCACCTGATAGTCAGAGACGATGTGGTCAAATTCTCCTCTCAGCAGTTGAGCAAGCGACTGAAGTAGCAGGAAGCGGAGAGGTAGCGGAGCGGAGAGGTAGCGGAGCGGAGTTACTGTGTTTGTCCATAACAGCTCCGCTAGTGACTAATAAACTAATTTAAACAAACTCTCACCTGATAATCAGACACCACGTGGTCAAATTCTCCTCTCAGCAGTTGAGCAAGCGACTGAAGTAGCAGGAAGCGGAGAGGTAGCGGAGCGGAGAGGTAGCGGAGCGGAGAGATAGCGGAGCGGAGTTACTGTGTTTGTCCATAACAGCTCCGCTAGTGACCAATAAACTAATTTAAACACACTCACCTGATAATCAGACACCACGTGGTCAAATTCTCCTCTCAGCAGTTGAGCAAGCGACTGAAGTAGCAGGAAGCGGAGAGGTAGCGGAGCGGAGAGGTAGCGGAGCGGAGAGATAGCGGAGCGGAGAGATAGCGGAGCGGAGTTACTGTGTTTGTCCATAACAGCTCCGCTAGTGACTAATAAACTAATTTAAACAAACTCTCACCTGATAATCAGACACAACGTGGTCAAATTCTCCTCTTAACAGTTGGGCAAGGGTTTCCGGCGCTATGCTTCTGAGGTCCGCGTGTTCACCTTCGGCCAGTGGTAATGCGAAGGGACGGCTGAAGTCGCCTATTAGGTCCGGTTCGGTCGCCGCTAGAAAAAAGACAGGTTATTAGGATTATTAAATAAATAAATATTATTCTACAACTAGCGGCCGCCCGCGACTTCGTACGCGTGGATCCCGTTTTACCCTCTTAGGGGTGGAGTTTCGTAAAATCCTTTCTTAGCGGATGCCTACGTCATAACATCTACCTGCATGCCGAATTTCAGCCCGATCCGTCCAGTGGTTTGGGCTGTGCGTTGATAGATCACTATGTCAGTCAGTCAGTCAGTCACCTTTGAGTTTTATATATTTAGATGTTTCACAAATTCGTCAAAGAGTAAATAGGACCATCCACACTTTTTCCGTAGATGTCGTAAGGCGACAAAGGGACAAATCTGCATGCAATAGGCCTTCCCAATTCCAACCCGTCTCCACTATAGGAGAATGACTCTCTCTAATGTACCAGAGGCAAATGAAATATTTTGGCTACACTCTCCACACTGGCTTGATGGGTTGGGGCTGAAAGTCACATATTTGTCCCTCAATGAGGGCTATCGTTTTAGCGCTCACCAGTTAGCGCCACTGTAGAGTAAGGTCCTGTCACTTGCTAGTAGCGAAGACAGTGGCACCAACTGGTGAGCGCGAAAGTGGTAGGAGGACTATCGCATTTGCATTCATCAAGATTAGATGGATGGCGCCACTGTAGAGTAAGGTCCTGTCAATCGCCAGGGGTGCCAACTGTTAAGTATAAAAACGATAGCCCTCATTGTCATAGCACTTTAAAGATTAAATAACAAGCTATGCGACAAGATTATAAACGGAAGTATGTAGTGAGAATTCTACTAAAAATAATAAACCAAAAGATACTTACATCTAGCCAAAGCAGACATGATAGAAGCATTATTCTCCGAGAAAGCCCTCTGAAGTACTGGCCTCTGAACTCGTTCAACGTCCGGAGTCAAAACGTTAGATTTCCTTCTCTTATTCACCACATCCTCTTCCTCAGACCTTTCTGTCCTTTTCTGAGACTTCTTCTCTTGAGGATTCTCTAAAATGGACAACAGAGACACTTTTGCTTTACTGCTCTCCGGGTTAAAACTCAAACTCCTGTGCAACGCTGGCCGTTTCAAAAATCCTCCAGGTATAATACTGTCCTTTATCTGCCCAGAGAGTAAGTCGTTGAAGTTGGCCATTTTTGGTGAGTTCGATGCCTCTTCAATATCCAAGAACGGTTCTTCTAGTTCTGATATGAATCCACTTTCCATAGATGTGGTGGATTCAGACGTGAATAACCTGAGTTTGCTGGACGCAGGAGACGAGAACGAACTCATGGATCCGATGCTGGAATCGCTCCTTTCGTGTCTTAGAGGATTTTTAGTTGGTGTTTCGGTGAATTTTAGAGACTTTTTCACTGACAAATTACTGGTCGCTGGTCTTTTGGCAGCTGGTGAGGTAAACTCGAAGTTTTCGTCTTCGAAATTAAGCATTCTAGTTGCGTTTGCGTTTGGTCGGTTAAAAGAGGTGGACTGCTCGCTTTCTGCGATCGGAGCACCAAATACGAAGTTTCTAGTGTCGACTTTTCTATACGCAGAAGTTCGACCCCTTGATATAATATTTGGGCTGTCCGTGGAAATTATTTCGTACTTAGTACATTCGTCAAAATTGTCGTTTTCGAATTCTTCTTCGAGGTCGTGTAGCGTTTCGAAGTCTGGATCCATTTCTGTGTCTTTTTCAGGGACGTAAATGTCCTCTTTCTTCTCTAAGTCGTAGGATTTGGTGGGGAGGGTGTCGGTGAAATCCAACTGTAAGAAAAGAAAAAAATGATGTTATTATTAGAATAGAAAAAAAATGGTTTTTAAAATAGAGCAATTTAACATCAAACTTACACATTTTATTGAAAACATTATTAACGGACAAAACAAAGTCTACTCATGAATTTATTAGTCTTTGAAAGTTTAAATAGATGCAACTGTTAAGAGTAAGTTAACTGGAAGATAATGCCTTATAGCATTAAGTTCGCCTTATGTACCAACTTACATAGCATTTAAGATCAGGTGAGATACAGACCAAAAGTTTCTTGGTGTGGATAAAAAATTATAACTCATGATAATAATACAAAAAAAAAGAATAAATAAATAAAAGTGTAAGAAATACCAATAATTACCTTTGTTGTGGACCAGTTGCTCGTTTTAGTCGACTGGAAGGTCTCACCGAATGAACAATCTCTGGTCTCCTCCTCCACATCAAGTTTGACGAACGTCTCACTGAACGACAACTCATTCTCCTTATTAGACATCTTGAATTTTGACCGTTCCTCGAATATCTTTGTAATCTTACTCGTGCTCCTTTTAAAACTTCTGCTCGTCAACGGAGACAGTGAATTTCTGTCTATTGACGGTGAATTCTTCAGCCTTTCAATCGAGGGTGAGAGTTTCCTGAGTAACGGTGAGACGTTAACGTTCTGTATTTCCCCGAGGATTCTGCGCTTGGACGGTGTGGCTATCGGTGAGGGTGTCTGGTTGAAGTTCAAGGAGTGTGGGTTCATTTTAATTTTGTAGTTGTGGGAGGACGCTTCTTCTTGCTTCCTTTTGGTGCCGCTGTTGCCCGAGTTGATCCGGAAGCTCTCGGTGATCAACCTGAAAAGATAGAGATTATATTGTTAGTTTCATTTAAAAATTGACGGAAACTATCGTTGAGAGACTATTCTAGTGTACAAATTTTGGTATCAAGATTCATATTCATATTAATTTATTCACTTCGCAATACATATTTGCAATAAATATAATATGATACATAAATACACACAGCAACTACATATTGGATCAAATTAGATAGAGACATTTAATAAAATATGTACTGTATTCTTAATACCAACCATGTTTAACAAAATGAGAAAACTTCTATTAAAAAAAATCAAGATATTAATTTCTATCAACACTACTGAAGAGTCACAGTCAAAGTCATAAACATGAATGACTTAGTTTAATATAATACAGTATTTATATAACTGGCTAGTGGGTCATTAAATAATTGCATATTATAATAATTATCATTAAAACTCTGTAATTAGTGCATCATTTTTCATAAGGATCATTAATTAAGATGTCATTTAGAGTTTAAGTGATTTCACACTGGAGTTGGACTTAAATGAGATATGAAATCATCATTAATTATGCAATTATTAACAGGGAAGTGTAGCTCTTATACAATATGGTGTATTATGATGTTTTGTTGATAAAATAAGAGTGCCTAATTCTAATTTTATTTAGAAGTGTTAGGAAAAATGTTATTTATGTAAGGTAATCTCCAGAATCAGTAAGAATTGCTAGTACTAAATCAATTGTTTTTATCAATAAGTATATCCTTGCCAAGAAAGGTACAAAGTTAATTTTAGCAAAATTACAGGTACTTATTTATACCTTAGTTACTTTGTATTTACAAAGTTCGCAAGGAAAATGAATGAATCAGTACCTATATACTTAGAAATTGATTGATTTTTAACAAACCAAGCATTTCTACTGTCTAATAAAAACGTGTGAAACTTTGTTGACCAAACTCATTTATTGATTGGGGTTTGATCCATTTTAACCCTTTAAAAAACTTCTTTTCGTCACGAAAATAGGGACTAAAGAGTAGATAACAATGATAAACCCTTCGTCGATCCCTGAAGGGACTTTTAAAGGCGATTTTTTTTCGTCGCGGCGCCGAAAGGGAACCGAATGTACCGATATATCCTATCACCAGTCGTAAATAAATCGAAAAACTGGTTCCACATACCTCCGCGCCCTTCCCGAGACCCGGCTCGACACATTGTTCACTTTATATCAAGATATACATGAGAAACACACAATACAATGACCGAAAAAAGGTTATGATACCGCACCCGATCGAAATTTTTGACTAATTTCCCATGTGAACACTTTGATTACACTCGAAAAGCGCACCGAACATGATTATTGTAAGTTTTTAATAGAATGCAAGTGTAAAACTAGAAAAAATAAGGTAGAAAACATTTTAATGTGAATCATCGAAACATGTTTCGCGCGCTTTGCTTTTTTCACGCGAAACGTCAAATGTCAACGTTCGGAAACCGGGCATCAGCTGTTCGCATGTTGATTGAGAAATCGCAACAAGTACAATTTTTGCAAATATGGAAAATCGATTTGACAATTTTATTACAGTAATTTTTAATACAGTAATTAATTAGACTTAAAAATACTTTACATGATATTATAAATAAATATTTGTTGTAAAAAATCTATAAATTATTTAAATTAGTTCCCAATAACCGTTAAATCTCATTCTTTAACAGATCAATCCCAAATATATTCAGCATCTTCCGATTCATAGCAATTACTTGCATCATCATGACAATAGCAGCGCAAGAGTCGCGATCGTTGACGATCAATATTCAACGCTTTTCTACGCAGGGGTGTCGGTCGGGCGTGTTATTTTTTTGAATAAATATACTCAACAGTTTTGTACGGGTTTTAACGGATTTTATCATTAATTCTTGCGAAACGTTTTGTTTTTTTAAGCACGAAACAATAAAAAAAACTTTACTTTTAATTTGCTCATAATTTCCCACACAAGACATCCCTTATTAGTAAGGGTTCTTGTGGTTCTTCTGCTTCTACAGTCAAATTAGTACTAGTGCCGTTTAAAAAGGTTTTTTTAAATTTTCAATAGAAACTCATTCCTTCACTTTTCTCGTACAGAACAAGTTTTCAACGTATTTCCAGATAAAGCGAATTCTACTGGGGTTTCGAACATACCGAAACCGGCAATTTCTCTTTAGCCCGTGCTCATTCAGTCCCAACAATGGCTGCAGTGGCTGCACGTCTTATCAGGGGTGCCTTTGTCGTCATAACGGCAAGACGTGGGGTCAAAGTGAAATGGCAACGTCTCAGCCCTTTTTAACGGTCCGTGACGTCACTTAATGTGAGGTGTGATTTGTTTAGCGCACGCCAGAGTCGAATTTCTGAGAGAAACAAAGCCGATTATGCAGTTTGAACTTTGAAGTTTATAATGGGACCAGAAAATTAGTGACTAGGCGAACGCAAAAGTTTTCGACTCAAATTACCTATGCTATTTCAATCCTACTAATATTATAGATGTGAATTAGTTTCTGAGTATGGAGGTGATGGAGGTCTGTTAAACTCTGTTACACTTTCATGCAAAAAGCACTGAACGGATTTCGATGAAACTTTTCTGTTATTGTTTACACATCAGAATAAGATACATTTTTAATGCTAAGCTATAATTTTTAACAACATTATGTTAATTAGTCAAAATTACTAAGTGTCAAGTATATCGGTCTTTTTGTGACGAGCAAAATGTAGTGTTTAAGCAAGAGTTATTTTCATTCTGCCCATTAAGTGTAACTGAAAAATTCAGTTTCTCAATCTGTGCAATTACTGCAGGTAAGTATTTCAAAGGCTCAGTGCACAATTAAGTGCAGTGCCTCGTCAAAATACTTTTGTTTAGCAAAAAAACCGTTTCGAACCGACACGTCTGGAACTCGCTTTTTCGGCATCCACAAAGGCGATGCACCACTTGTGTCTCACACAAAAGAACATAACGAACGGTGATTTACATAAACATTTTCGAAAACCCTTCCGAGAGCATCCCTTTCCCTTGCACTCGTCAGTTACTGATTGCCGTTTAATATAACAGGTTTCATTGTTCGCGGATAAAGAACTCTTTCCTGACATTGTTACTAATGTTAAAAAAGTGCTGAAGAAAGTGAGCAAAAATTTTTTTTGCAAAACTGTTGGCGTCGATTCTTGAGACTCTTCTAATATCCTACAAAAGTTTGTAAGATACACAAATAACTTTGTTTATTTAAGGAAAACCAACAGCGATACCTACTAGCATAGTATTAGTTACAAAAAATTTGGAAATGAAAGACCTTGAATCTTATATTAGACTTTTGAATGTATACAATTTGATAAAAAGTTCAAAGCTATCTTTCCCATGTACCTACAGATAAGATAAAACGTCAGCACCAAATTATTGAATCCGTTAAAACTCCCAAGTCCCAAATTGGAATATTTGGAATCACTTGGCGAAAACCGTTGGGGCAAACCGAATATATCACTTATGACATTGGTTGGGCAAAAAGCTCCAGACATCTGGTGTAACTAAATATAGCGGCAACCACAAGGTTGCAGGATATCAGCTCAAGTGAGCCGAGCATCCTGTTTACAGTTTGCAGGAAATGTTACGCGTATCATTGTTTTACGTGGAATATGCTTCAGGGAATGATAATTTCATATCGAAGAACTTAAAAACATACAATAAAAATTAAATGCGATTCATTTATAATCTCCCTATATCAGTACTTATCCTATATTAGTAAATATAAATAAATATGCTATAATGAGGCTCGTTTGCATAATTTTCATTGTACTTTTTGTTTTATTATGTATCAAGTCTCTTAATTTTAATTTCACCTGATGGTAAATGACCTTAAGCTAGATCTTTGATCAATTATAAAAGTTTATACCAGCTATCTAAGTATTTTTTCAATAGTAGCCTAATATAATATGAACAAACAAATTACGCTCTGTTTCTTCAGAACACGTCACAGTTTATCACCAGTACTAGTACTCCATAATCCAACTTCCAAAAAAAAAAGCGATTTAACTATTATTTACCAAACCAAACAGTAAATCCCCGATCCCCTATCGGTACAAAAAATTGTTCGTTAACGGTTAACCGTCGTATCGACCGGCGCTCGCAGCGAATGCAGTCGGTGCAATTACTGTTGCTATTGCACCATAACGATTGTAATTAGAAACGTTATGCAACTGATCGGTTATTCTAATTATTAATTATCCTAACGAATATTCAAATAAATTAGCTGCTAAACGTCCTTAAAATGGAAACAATACTGCAATCCTTGTAAGGTGCTTTTTAAGTCATGGTTGTTAAAAGAGTTGTTTTAGTAAAAAGAAGGTTATAAATAAATTATGACACAAACTAAGGAAGGAAAACTTTATTTGTTTGCTTTACATCCTTCAAATAAATACAATAACACAACACAATCCGCATAAGGTAATAAAGATTGTCTTCAAGTTTAGATAGATAGACTATAATTTAGTTGCATTAGTAATGTTGGTAATATTAACGAATTTTTTTGACACAAACGAAGGAATCAAGGAAGACCAGGTTGCTATCGAAGCCATGAATGAGTTATATCAACCGAAACGATTACATAACAGTTTTTTCGTATCAATAATACTTGGGTACTTACAATTTTTATCGCACGTGCAATATGGCACGCGACAAACACCCACGTATATTTCATGCTAATGTGAGCTTTAATTGTACAGGAATAAGGAATAGCTGCGCAGGCGCCACTTTCGCATGGGGGAGTATATCAATGGGGTTTCAACAGATGGCTGTATGGTTGGAATAGCGCGATAATTTTATAGAGTTTGACAATTTGGTAACAACAGCACAATAACAGAATGGTTGAAATTTTTAATATTAACATAATAGGGGTTCATTAAGTGTGGCTCATGTCATTTCTAACATTGAGGCAAGTAAATAGTTAACAGTTACTAAGTAGATAAGAAGAAGAAGAAGTAACTTATATTAAAAATCATGAATACGCTAAGGAAAATTAGAAAATAATAATTTACGTACCACTTAAGTATGTGTGAGTTTAAAAAAATATATATTTTGATGCAACAACTGCTTAAAAATATTGTAATCTAATAACTATCTATCAATCTCAAAATCCGTTGCAACAAAAAAAAAACAACAATAACAATATCGGTAGCCACCGTTAAACCGGGTCAAAGGTGCATCCTAAGATATCTCGGCGCGTGCGGGGGAGGCAGCTGAGATTGTTACAATGCAAGTAACAAGTGCAATTTCCGAACGCAGCTGGAGTTTTTTTTAATCCGTGCAGGATTGGGGATTGATACAATAAGACGTAGGGGATATCCCCTAACGTGGCTTTGAAAATCAAAAGTGCATTTTCTTGACGTAACGGTTTCTTGTGTTTGGCGAAGGCATTTGTAACAGACAGTATAAAATAAAAATTTAATATTTGCTGACAGCTGGTAACTAAGGATTTGTGGGAATAAACTTACACTAGATCATAAACCACATCGAAAATAAACAAGTTTAATTAAATAAATAAAGTTCTTAGAACATTTTGCACCGCGCCATCTAGTCGCAAATTAAGCAAAGGTTGCTGTGGGCACCAGGCACATACAAAATAAAATAATGTTTTTTTAAATAAGCACAAAATAACATAAATACACAGATCTCCACAATCATGTATGAAGTTGCTTTCTACTACAATATAGAGAGGCTAGTTAAATTGATTAATGGTTTTCACATTATGGTAATAACGCACACCTTTACACCCATTAACGATCATTTATCTATGTTTCCTAACAAGCTTTCTTCAGAAATTAAACTCAGGCATGTGGCCAATCCCTTAATCTCAAAAAGAAATTAGAGGCCAATCACAGTCAATTTATCAAGGATAGACACCCTCGCATCCTACTATGGAACAGCGCGTGCCATACCAGCTGCACCCACAATAGCAATCACGACAAGTGAATTGCAGCTGGAAGAACAGCTGTCTTGAGATGCTACTTAACAATTACTGGCCTATTTAACAAAAAAAAGTTTTTGATCAGTTTTTTTCGCGAACGATGACCTCTATCGGAAGGAAGGCAGATGTAAGGTACGATAGTCCAACAATAGATAGGTGTTTGGGGTATAACGCCTTTGGTCAGCTGTAAGAAGTAATTTATAGTGATGCATTTTATAAGAATTGGTAATCAATTTATAAGAAAAAGAGATAAGGCATTTTTTTTAAACCAATAAGCTTTTTTTGCTAAAAAATTACAACGAAAACAATAACAAACATGAAGGTAAACAAAAAAAACTTTTTTTTTAGACAACTCAGTCTTTTGGATCTCCGGAACCGGAAGCGCACGTGCGCACGCGCTCAGATATTGGATTGTTCAATTGAGATCATCCAATTGAGTCATTCACATTGAAATACGTCGGTAC